ATGGCCATGTGAGAGCATTTCGAGAAGGAGAGCGGACTCTCCCCACTCTCAGTCGTACCAGGGCATTTGGGGGCAGTGTTAACTACTACTACTACTACTACTACTACTACTACTACTACTACTACTACTACTACTACTACTACTACTACTACTACTACTACTACTACTACTACTACTACTACTACTACTACTACTACTACTACTACTACTACTACTACTACTACTACTACTACTACCTACTACCACCACTACTACTAACCTCATTATTATTGTATAGCACATATGTATTTGGTGCCCCCCCTATGTACGAATGTTTATAGATTAAAATAAACAAATCCTTATATCTTGTTAATAACAACTAGTGACTATATTCATCAATTGTTACTATAGTTATGACACCTGTCTAAATATGAATATCAAATGTGTAATTCAACTACGGGAAATCAAGCAAGGGAATAGTTCAATTTCGCATTTTACAAATTATCCAATATATAGTAGTAAACAGATTGATAAAACCTTTCATGTTGTCATAATATGGAATAATGAAGAAGAGTGTTTGTTTGTTTGTTTGTTTAAACAAACTTTGTTGCCAGGATATTGAAGTTGTGTTAATGATTGGAAACATTGATGCAAGGAGGCACCAGATAGATATGCACTAAGCAAGTCATTTGATTTGTGTGTATAGGCTGGGATACTGTTCCGATGGCCAAACCGAAACAGGTGGTTTGCTTAGGGAGCCACACCCGAAGTCTTTAAATTAGAGGTCTGATCCACAAAACAGAGTAGCAATGTCAGGAGATGAAGTCCCATGGTAGTCGGTGACCAAGAATAGGTTCTCTTGAGATACTGAAGGCCATGTGTACCATTGGTTTGGAATTAAGTTTTTCCATCTCCCCTAGATGGATCCTCTATATCTATCAACCCGGTTAAAGTGCCGGACATTCTGTTTTTTTTCTCATAATTTCGTAAACAACACCCCTACCAAGAGAAGGTAGTGAGTAGGACTTCCTTTTCGGTGGTTATATGCACGTGGCCATATGAGAGAATTTGGAGAGGGAGAGCTGATTCTCCCAACTCTCGACCGTACCAGGACATTTTGGAGGTGACAAACTAGCTTCTAGCTAAAGAGGAAATCAGGAAAAGACGTTGGAAGTGGATAGAACATGTATTACGCAAATCACCAAACAGCATCACGGGGCAAGCCCTAATTTAGAATTCCGAAGGGAAACGGAAAAGAGGAAGGTCAAAGAACACATTACGTCGGGAAATAGAATCAAATATGAAAAAGAATGAATAACAACTGAAAAGAACTAGGAAGGATTCCCCAGGACAGGGTTGGATGGTAATTGCTGTTGAGTCAATTATCCATATACACTCAACAACGTATAAACAATTGAAAGAATCGTGAAAAGCCTATGTCAATATTATCCCTACAAGGTTTATGTTTATGTTTATTTAGTTTGAAAGACTTGGGTTCGATCTATGAAGGAGTCATAGACTTAATACTTCTAGAAGGTTATACATTAGCATAAAACTATCCATCTAGGGCATACTTTTTTAATCTAAAGTTAATGTAAATCAAATACCATCTATTTATTACTTAATGTAAATTGTCTCAATTGATGCCAAATCAATAATCTAGAGATTGATTACTCGCTCATAGAACTAAAGATAGTGGGTTCGAGTCCCTTCAGTATAGGATCATGAATACTTACTGTTGACAAGTTCCATACCAGAAAGAAACAGCCATCTAATGTTTCTAAGTTTTCCATAGAGATCTAGCTTGAATTGATTCATGAATTCAACTATTGAATTATAAGAGCCAAGATAATTATAGGTTCTTGATGATCAAATCAATTATTATTATTATTCTTATTGTAAATGAAAACCATAATTGATATCCCTTGAGAAGTGTGTGTGTGTGTGAGAGAGAGAGAGAGAGAGAAAATAAGCCAATTCAAAATTTATTTCAAATCAATTAGAGAGAATTTACTAGTTGAATTCATGAGTCAATTGAAGCTAGACTATCATGAAAAATCTGGAAGTACTGGATAATTGTTTTGTCCTAGTATGGGACTCCTAAGTTGTATTTATCCACGATGCCACATCAAATAGACTCAGATCCAGTACCTTCAGTTTTGCGCTAGAATGCTTAATGTCTAGATCATTGAACTTGTTAACATTCAACGGTGTTATTGTCTAACTTCAACTAATCCACGAAATTGAGCCACCATTTTCCATTATCTTCAGTGAGTTACTTTCTCACAACAGACCTAGTTGAACTTCACTGGTCACTGTTTCTCACTAGAACTCCAGGAAATACCTCTCATAGTCAGTCATTAGTGAGCACATGATGATTATTATCAGAAAGAATTTTGTGAGGGAGGAGCTCCATACTAAGACAAAACAGCTATCCAGTTCTTTCAGGTTTTTCATGGTAATCTAGCTTCATTTGACTCATGAGTTCAACTATTAAATTATTAAAATCTCTATAAAATCCATTTTGAGAATTTATTAGTTGGATTTATGAATCAATTAAAACCGAACCATCATTAGAAACCCAAAAGCACTGGATAACCATTTCTTCCTCGTATGGAACTCTTCAGCAATATGCATCCATGACAGGATTTGAACCTAGAACCTATCGGTTTTGTGAGTGAACGCTTAACATTTTAGACTACTGAACTTACGGATATCCTATTGTGTTAATGTCTAACTTCAATCAATCAAATTTTCCACGTTGGTCTAACTTTAATTGACTCATGAATTCAACTATTCAATTATAAGAGCCAAGATAATTATAGGCTCTTGAAGATCAAATCAATTATTATTATTATTATTATTATTATTATTGTAAACGAAAAACCATAATTGATAACAATTAAGAAGGGAGAGAGAAAAAGAAGCCAATTAAGTCAATTGGAGAGGAGAGTGTGAAGCTTTTTTTTTTGTTTTTGTTTTGAAAAAAGGACTTAAAACAACAATTAAACTGGATTATTAAATGAAATCAATGAATTCAGGTCATGACAACTAATATAGTAACAATCTTTGTATCAATAGGTCACAACACATACTCACATATACACAAAAGAAATAGAAAAATCTTCAATGAAGTACCTGGCGTGAAACGGATAGGTCGTGGGTTTAAATCTTGCGGGTAGCGGGATCGTGGATACATACTGCTGAGGAATCTCATATTAGGACGAAACAGCCGTCCAGTGCTTTCAAGTTTTCCAAAGTGGTCTAGCTTCAATTGACTTATGATCTCAACCAGTAAGATTGAAAATTTGTATAAAATCAATTGGAGTGAAATTATTAGTTGAATTCATGAGTTGATGTAAGCTAGACCATCATTAGAAACCTGGAAACATTGGACGGCTGTTTCGTCATAGTATGGAATTCCTTAACACTGCCCATTCACGATCCTGACTCGCGATATCCGAACCCAGAATCTATCAATCTAGCACGCGAACGCTTAACCTCTAGATCACTGAGATTGTTGACATCCGACGGTGTAATTGTAAGAGCCAAGATAATTATAGGTTCTTGAAGATCAAACCAATCATAACACGAAGAACATCAATCAAATCACACTTGATGGAGAAACTCTGGAAAAGGTGTAAATATTCACATATCTGGTTAACATCATCGATAAACGTGAAGGATTTGATGCAGACATAAAGGCAAGGATTGGCAAAGAAAGGATCGTATTCCTACAGTTGAATAACATATGCAACTTAAAACCAAAGTTAAAATCTTCAATACAAACGTCAAGACCGTTCTAATTTCCAGAGATGAAACTCCGAGAACTACTGCGACCATCATCAAAAAGGTACAGGTAATTATCAACAGTTGTCTACTCATGATACTCAATATCCGCTAACCGGTTCCTTTTAGTAACAATCTATTGTGGGAGAGAATAAACTAGCTTCGGGCTAAACATGAAACTAGAAAAAGGCGTTAGAAATGGATAAGATATGAATTACGAAGATCATCAAACTGAGTCACAGCCCACATACAAATAAGATTTTGTGTGGCGTATATATATTTGGTGCCCTCTTGTACCAATATTTATGTGTTCAAATAAATAAACAAATAAAATAAAGCCCATCTACAAACTAAAACACACCGTGGAAATTTACTCAAATGGTGAACATCTCGAACTTTACATATCCGGTAAACGAACTGAATGCCCCCAAATGCCCTGGTATGGCCGAGAGTGGGGAGAGTCCGCTCTCCTTCTCGAAATGCTCTCACATGGCCACGCTTATATAGCCTCTGCCAGGGAAGTCCTACTCACTGTCTTCTCATGGAAAGGGTGTTGTTTACGAAGATGAGAGGACGAAAAGTGAATGTCGGGCGCTTTAACCACATCCCAAACCAATGATGCACATGGGCTAGCTCCAGTATCCTGAAGGAACAAATGGCGTATGAACCAATCGTTGGTGACCGGCTACTATGGGACTGCATTTCCTTACGATGCTCCACTGCCTTGTGGATCAGACATTCAGGTCGAAGGCTCGGGGTGTGGCCCCCTAATGAAACCACCTGTTTCGGTTTGGACGCTGGGGCAGTATCACAGCCCTCACACAAATCAATTGAGATTTGTGTGGCGCATATGTATTTGGTGCCTCCTTGTACCAATACCTATGTGTTAAAATAAATAAATAAATAAATTGAATGGAACTAGTTAAAAGAAATTATTATATGTAAATAATATTTGACAGGTTGAACTTGATTTCAGCATGAAAGTAAACTTTATCCCCATAAGCATAAACAAGTTACTAGCAGGATTCAATAGTCAAGTGAATGACATGATGACGTTTGAAGTGAATGGTATTAGGTTAGAATTCTAGAGTCAACATCAACACTGGAATGGAGGTACATTCGGCTGACGAGTCCTAAATAGGACGAAATGTGCATCAAACTAGATTCCACTACTAGTCACCATCTATCTTTACCTTAAGTATATAAAACTTGAATAATTCTACTTTACTTACCTGTACTTTTTTCTTGTGGTGGTATACACATACTTTCAGCTAAACGTGGAAATTGTTGACAATGTACTATATCTGGCCAATCAAATCCAAATAATTTCATTCTAGGTAAACATGCATTACGTACTTGATTACATAATTCCCAACATGGTGGTATTTTAGCTTCTTGATGACTTTTTAAACATACTGGTGCATATAATGAACATAGAAATCGTTGAATATCTGGATGACAATCTGTATTAACTAATGCAATCCATACATTAGCTTGTTGTATTGCTTCACGTAATGATTCATGATGTAAAAAATTTGGTAATACCATACGTGAATAACCTACACTTTTACATAATGTCATATTTGGTGGAATTGTATGACAATTCCAATATGCATATGAATTTGTATCACTTGAATATGGTAAAGATGATAAGGAAATTGATGATCCTATTGATGATGATGATGATGAAGAAGAAGAAGAGGAAGATATTTGTGTTGAAGGATTCCATTCATTATATGAATTGGAGGATAATTTGAAGAAACCACGTCCAATACAATATACATAAGGTATTATGTATAAAATAAACAGGATATACTTATGTAAGAACAACATATTTCAATGTCATACGTTCAATTCTTGAATAAAGAGTGCTGGTGGATAGCCTATGCTCCTTCACGAGGAGTAACAGGGAGTAAGTAATTAAGTTCAATTCTTTGATGGAGATTGCTGGTGGTCAGTCTTTGTTCCTTCACCAGGAGTAATAGAGCGTAATTAAGTTCAATTCTTTTCTATTGAAAGTTTTATATTAATCCAATTGAATTCATTTTATAATCCATTCTACAGAATTCAATATCATTAGTCTTATGCCCAGTATAATCTAATTGTCCTAAAGTAATGTTAAATAGTAGTATATTAGTAGTAGTAGTAGAAATGTCATGTATACTATACTTGCATCAGTAGTATGTTACAGCTTTAGCGTTAGAACCAATGACTAAGTATCACTACAATCAACTATATATACCATTTTTTAGATACAAGCTGAAATTTGATTGGTTGAAAATATTAAAAGTATATAGACCAATCAAAATTCAGAAACAAAAAAATACCCAATAAATGATACATTAACGAACAACCGTATTTTTTTTTTAGGAAGGTATACAAACAAACTCATTGTTGACAATGGTGGATGTGTTGCTTAATTTTGTCGATTACTTGAAGTTAAACATGAACACCATTGAATGACGGCAATTTCAATGGTCTAGTGGTTAAGTGTTCACCCTCGAGACTAATAGGTCTTGGGTTCGAGTTTTGCGAGACGGTGTCGTGGATGTGCGCTGTTGAAGAGCTCCATACTAGGATGAAACGGCTGCCCAGTGTTTTCAGGTTTTCAATAGTGGTTTAGTTTCAATTGACTTATGATCACAACTATTGAAATTCATTTTAGAATTATTAATCTATAAAGTAAAAATTATGTGTAATAAGATGAGTTATAATTTTTAAATGTAATTGAAAAAAGAAGGATTAAAATAGTCGTTCTTCTAATTCATGATTCTGAATTAGTTGAATGTTTGAATTCATGAGTTCATTGAAGCTAGGCTATCATAGAAAACTTGGAAGTACTGAATGGCTGTTTTGTCTTAGTATGGGACTCCTCAACTGTATTTATCCACGATGCCAAATCAATCAGACTCAAACCCAATACCTTTAGTTTTGTACACAAACGCTTAAACTCTAGACCACTGATCCAACTTCCAACGGTATTAATATGTAACTTCAACCAATCCACGATATTCTGCGACTGTACTCCATTGTAAGTTACTGCCTCATAACAGACACGATTGAAATCCACCGGTCATGAATTCTCACTTGAACTTCAGGAAATTCATTTTAAAACAAGACACTAGCGATCACTTGATGATTATAATCAGAATGGGATTTTGTGGAGAATATAGTAATTTAATAGCTGAAATAAATGAGTCGATCTGACCTATATTATTGTTATAAGCCTGAAAGAACTAGACTACCGTCTCATCCTATTATCGAACTCCTCATGGGTCGATTGAAATTAAACATTAGTATCCTTGGATTCTGATCCAGTGGTTTAAAGATCACGTGTTCACGTGCGGGACTGATGGTCATGGGTTCGAGCTTTGAATGAAAGATCATGGTTCTAAGATGTTTTCTACTAGAATGAAACAGATGTCCAGTATTTCCAGGTGATCAATAATGGCAATCTCTACAAAATCACCATTTGAATAGGAATGTAAAAAGCATCAGTTCTTTTTTTTAGAAAATACCCAATTACATATATTACACTTATTACATAATCTATGATACTTATCTTATTGTGTAAATTTGATTTATGATATTCACAGATGGAATGAAATATTTGAATTGAATTAAAGAACAACAAAGACAATAAAAACATCTGTTTAATTGTTCTAATAGAACATTCTTATTATGTTTAAATGGTTAGATTAGGTGTATAGTTGGAAATGGAGATTATGTCATGATAAGAAACATATTGTTATAGAGATAATCTAAATGATTGGATGAGTATGCTTTGGATGATGATGATGATGATTTGGATGATGGTGATGATGATGATTTGGATGATGATGATGATGATTTGGATGATGGTGATGATGATGATGATGATGATGATTTGGATGATGATGATGATGATGATGATGATGATGATGATGATGATGATGATGATGATGATGATGATGATTTGGATGATGGTGATGATGATGATTTGGATGATGATGATGATGATGATGATGATGATGATGATGATGATGATGATTTGGATGATGGTGATGATGATGATTTGGATGATGATGATGATGATGATGATGATGATAATGATGATGATGATGATGATGATGATGATGATGATGATGATGATGATGATGATGAGTTGGATGATGGTGATGATGATGATTTGGATGATGATGATGATGATGATGATGATCTGGATGATGATGAGTTGGATGATGATAATGATGATAATGTCAAAAAATGAATGATTAGGACGGAAAAGCAGTTCAGTGGTGACAGATTTTCCATAGTGGTCCACCTTCAATTGACTCAAAATCAACTACTAAATTAAGTATTCTTAATGGGGAGTTAATGTGGTGTGTGCTACTTATTTCGATATAAGTAGTATATAACATTAGTTAGAAATAGAATGTCTGGCAACGGAAGGTTCAGAAGACCGAGGGGGGAAGAATGAGAACAGAAAGCAATCAATATGAAAATATAGGAACAATGAAGTGTGAGACAATTAATGAACATTTTGCGAATGAAGTATTGGCGTATGGTTTATCAAGGAACTCTGTAATTTTATATTATATATAATCGGTGGCCCTCACATGTGTTCTCCTTTACTACTATAATACTAAGTATCTTAGATAATCCTAGTGTAGTTCACCAAGGTAGATGATCTATGTCGAATGATTGGAGGCCTACTCGAGTTAGACTGGAATGGGGTAACAAAGAAGCTAACTTAGAAGTCACATCTCAAGATAAGCATCTAACGTGGATTACCCCTTCGACGTATCAAAGTACTACAGCTGTTTTGAAGACCGTATAACATAGAGGACGTTATTACAGCAATATATTAGTTAAGGTAGATACAAGCAAAAGTAGAACCACCACCGCATTGATCAGTTCATGGAGTACGATTAACTGATGCGCGTTTGTTGTACTCGACTTTGACGAGAATCGATGATTTCTTCGATATTCTATAACCCAACTGTCGGATGATTTGGCTAGGGCTCAGTGACATTTCACTGGCCCTACACTAGTTTAGGACTGTTTAGTAAGTCATACACATAATGCAGAACATTTAGTTCAGCTAAAGTGTGGTGGTTCTCATTTATAAATTTAGTTCTTCATAAAAATTTACCTGTGATGAAATATTCTTCAGAAAATCTATTCTTACTTTTGTGGTATGTACTACTGATATCGACAGATTTAAGTAGTATGTAACATCAATCGCAAATGAAATATCGAACGGTAGGAGGTTAAGCACATTGATGAAAAAAGAACGAGAACAGTGTGGAAATGAAAGAACAGTTAAGTCTTAGACAATTGATTGACATATCGCAAATGAAGTATTGACTGTATGGTTCTTAGATTTTACTAACACGTTCTACCTAAAGTTTGTGCTGATGATGATGTCATTGAGAAGAATAATGAAAGCTCTACGACTAAAGTATCTAGCTCAGAGAACAAAACTCTACCAAAAACTAAGACGCTCTGTAAATCTGCATTCCAATACATTCGATGTATATATATAACTATCCCAGGTTCAGCTAAACCAACTAGACAGGTTTGGTTCCAAATTAATAAACCTCAGATGGTGGTTGGAGGTAGTCAATAGGAAAACCTTCACCCGGATTTCGTGATACTTCGCACTCCTCAGCAAGGTGTACCTGTAATCTTGAGGGAACTGATGCACCCTGATGGATTTGATCCCGTGTCACCCAGCTTCTCACTCAGAGATGTTACCACAGAGCTATCCGGGCCGCGACCGACATCCTGTAGGACTAAAATACAATCACAATTGATTGATCACTGGATGGTGATCAATGTCATGCGTGTTTAGTCCTTATTAGTGCATATCGGATGCTATCGATCATGTTGGAATGTGGCCACCAGTCTAGGTGACTCAACACTAGACACGCATGACATTGTTAACATCACTATCCAGTGATGTTAACGATGGAGTACAAATGATCATTTTATTATACCGAATCAACCATAAACTTCCAAAGTAACTGTCCAGTTTGTTTTAGATCAATGAATTAAATTCTTCTTGAATTAAAATTTGTAATCCCCTAATTAGAAACCATTAGTTGGACAAAGACTAACTATAAAGGTGAAGTGTTCACCCTCGAGACCGTAGGTTATTGGTTCTAGCCCATTGTTGTGAGATCGTGGATGCACATAGCTGAGGTTTCTCATAATAGGACGAACCGGTCATCTGGTGTTTCCAGGTTTTTAATAGTGGTCATCATCATCGTCATCATCAACATCCAAAGGATCATCATCATCATATAAAGCATCATCATCATCATCTGAAGCATCGTCATCATCATCATCATCATCATCACCATCAACATTCAAAGCATCATCATCATCATCATCATCATCATCATCAACAGTAGCAGCAGCAGCAGCAACACCATCATCATATATAATAAGTAATCACAAGCTAATTTAGAAAAAGTATTTAACCATAAAACTTATTGAACACATTACAGTGAACTGTTTCATGCGTATAATGTGAATGTGCGTGTGTGTGCGTGTTGTGTGTGTGTGTGTGTGTGAGAGCGAGAGAGATCCAGGAAGGGAGACAGTAACCTTAAGAGTAAGAAAACTTATATAAAAGTGAATTTATTACCAGAATTAATGATAAATTTTTATGATTAAAATTTACACAGTTTTTTTTATGTTTTTCCTTCTTTTTCCTTTTTTCCTTTTTCTTTTTTCTCTTTTTCTTTTTTCTCTTTTTCTTTTTTCTCTTTTTTTTCTTCTGAAATTAATTTTCCATCATGTAAATAGAAAATTAAAAAAATTTTTTTGTTTTTTTTTTCAACTTGATGACAGTTTTCGTTTAATATTATACTGAATAAATTAGGAATATTTTTTTTAAAAATGATGAATTAATAGACTAGTGACTTAGTTGTTCCTAGAGAATGATTTCTTTTAGCGCTCAAATGCTCTAGTATGGTCGAGGGTGAGAGGAGTTCGTTGTCTCTCTCAATCTCTCCCTACAATTGTTCTCATATGGACATGTGAATACGACCATCACCAGGGAACTCCTACACACTTCCTTGTTGTTGTTTACGAAATTGAGAAGATAAAAATTGAATGTCCGGTGCTTTAACCAGTTTGATGGATATGTAGGGTGAATTGGAAAACTCTGATTCCAAGCCAATGATGTACATGGGCTACAGTATCCTGAGGGAAAAAAATA